CATGATTCTCTAGCACTGAGTCAGAGCAGTTAAAGTGGACTCAGTTTGACCTATTTCTGGCAGTCTGCAAAGGCCCTTAGTGGCATCCAAGGCTGAGTGGGATTCAAACCCTGGTCTCCCAGAGTCCTAGTCCAATACTCAAACCATAGACCATGCTTGCTCTTACCTAATTGAACTAGATTTCTTTAAAAGAAAATTTTTATCAAGCTAAAATATAACAATAATTCCTTCCTGTCTTTGTGTTGGTAATTTGTGTGTGTGTGTGTGTGTGTGTGTGTGTGTGTGTGAATATATATTTGTTATTTTATGCCTTCAAGCTGTTTCTGATTTATGGCGACCCTAGGGCAAACCTATCATGAGTTTTTCTTGGCATGTGTCTTCAGAGGAGTGTTGCCAATGCAACACTGAGAGAGTGTGACTTGCACAAGGTCACTTGCACATGTGTGGCTTGCACAAGGTCACCCAATGGGTTTCCATGGCCGATCTGGGATTTGAAGCCTGGTCTCCAGAGTCATAGTCCAATGCTCAAAGCACTACACCATGCTGGCTGTCCTGTATAATCTCATTCTATGAAGAATTCTTTTTTTTAAACTATAAATCTAAGTTATACTTGACTTGCTCATTTCACAGAGAACATCTGCAAACTAAGATCTGTTTAGTGCTAGCAGCACTACAAATTAGATCAGTTTGAAGGTATGTTTAGTGCCAAACTCCACATTACAGTATTCAGTATGTTGTTAAAAGCATATTTCAAAGTGTCCAGTTTTCTTGGGAAGAAAAAGTACCTCCAGAGCCTGACCTGGAAAGTGCTCTATGCAGATTAGAAGTAATCTCACTAAATTGTTTGTTCCCAATGATTGACGTTGTCTCAATTTGCCAAAATGGCTCTCACTGACAGTTTGTTATCCCCCTGGAAGATTTTTCACCTCCAATGTGAGAACAAGACAACCTTTTCTTGAGTTGACATTTCAGCAATTTGCACAAAATGTCTCTGTGCAGAAATCAGAATCTTTTGTCTTTGTGATGCAAAGCACACATATCACAAAAAACAAGAATGGCTGATGGATCAAAATGATGCAAATACCAGTAACCAATTTCAGGCATATCATTTTTTAAAATCCATGAATCAAGGCAGCCGCTAGTGTAGTTCAACTATGCAATTTGCACAATATATGCAGTTTGTGGAAAAATTGTTGTTGCAAATACAAAAATTCTCCTGAGACCAACAGAAAAGACTGTATTTAGCTTACTTGCCACTGCAGATAAAAAAATGCAGTTTCTTGTTCTCTAACCCAGATTAATAATCCCAATCCATTTTGGGGTGGATACTCTTTCACTGTGGGAAATCACCAGCCCTTTTTAAATAAATGGGTGCTGGATAAACACCACTGTCATCAGGGACAAATAGTCATAGGGAGACTTGTGGCAAGACACTCTGGTTCAGGGCCCAAATCCAAATATTTATGGAACTTGAATGAACAATGTAGATAAGGCCTCAGTACTCAGCCTTTTTACCCTTCTACATATGACATTGTTCCCCCACTCAACGTAGTATATAAATAAGAATATTTTACTTATTTAGTGTGAATATTTTCATCCATAAATTCATGTATATTCACATTTTAAGATTTTGTAAGGAAATAACATTGTTCAACAGTTTTGTTTAAATAAATTTAATATTTAACTTAATGTCTGCATATGTTTTACACATAAAAACGTTTGGAAGGAGGAGGGATCAGGGCTTCCAAGTTTTGTGCCTACCTTGAGCAGTTCTTGCACCCACTTGGGGATCCTGCCTCACCATTTGAGAATATATTATGTCCTTTATTTCATATGTATATCACTCTGGTTTTTCTGACTGATGTATGAGATCATTACCTTCTCATGGCCCCATCTACTGATGGAATGAAGAATATTGCTGTGGGCCAATGTTATGTGTTAGTATTATGTTTTTAAACTTCTTGATTGTGATTTTAATCTTTATTGATTTAATACTGTTTTAAGGGGGGAGGGAAATGTTTTTGGCTTTATGTATGATTTTACTGTTGTGAGCCGCCCGGATTGGGTCTCCCAAAGGGTGGGATACAAATAAATTTTATTATTATTATTATTATTATTATTATTATTATTATTATTATAGCACTGATCCGCAGAAGTTAATGGAGGAACCAACCTATTGTTGGAAAAGTTACCTTGATCATACCCTGCTCTAATGCTAAAATGTTTTCAGCATTTCAGTAGTGTTAGAAATTATAAATAACTGGTAATTGATATTTTTAAAATTCATAAGTATTCCAAGTAGTGCAATTTTATATGCTATTAAATTATAAATACAACATTTTGTGTTACTAAAGTGATAAGATGAGTTGAGATTTGATATGAAATACAAGCATTGGATATGTTTCCATTCCCCACCCCCATTTCTGTGGTGAAGCAAGGATTTGAGCCTTTGCTAAAGAGATTATCACACTGGCCATTTTCTCCCAATCTGGGCATAGGCTGAGATGGTGTAAAAATGGCTGTTATCGCACAGCTTCATGCCCAGATCAGAGGCATCCCATACCCAATCAGGACTTCTCCCATACTGAGCTAAAACGATTCTTATCAGTTTATTGATTAGTATGGGAGAAGTCCTGATAAGATAGAGCAGGGGTAGGCAACCTTTACCCTTTAAGGGCCGAGGGACTTCAGCTCCCAGAAGCCTCAGCCATGTTGGCCAATAGCTCCTGAGATTCTGGGAGCTGAAGTCCCTTGGCCCTTAAAGGGGAAAGGTTGCCTACCCCTGAGATAGAGGATGCCTCTGGTCTGGGCACAAAGCTGTGCAATAACATCCATTTTTACACAGTCTCAACCTGTGCCCATATTGATGAAAAAAGCAGTGTGATAATCTTCTAAATTTTATGTAGTACCCACTGTGACCTCTTCCCCCAAGAACCTCTAGCAAAGTCAAACTTCCAAGCGGTTTCTGCATATGTTCAATGGATTCTCACCTTACAAGCTAGGGGTGAGCAACTACAGTGACTCTGGGAGTCAGTGTTCTTTCTGCCCTGGGACCCTTCAAGGGCTATATGAACTCCCTAAACAAACAAAAATGCAAAATGAAGCATATCTGGAAGTCATCCTAAACCCACTTCTGCTTTTGAAGGAATTATACTTTTTGATCGTAATTAATGCACTGGGGGTCACTATGATTCATTGGAAAGTAAATAGCTTTTCTTGGTGGGTTCTAAAAAAGGCAATTCACTCTTTTTACCAAAAAAACAGGCAGCCTGGAGGCCCCTACCAAAACTGTCTTTGAGGCCACACTCCAGGATCATACATTGTCTGGACACTATAACTTAAGTGTCCCAATTTGGCAGGGATAGTCCCAATTAATCTTCTGTTGTCCTACTTTTTCAACTGCTTCTCAAATGTGCCAGATACTCTCTCCTCTACTCACTCAGTGTTTTTCAATGGCTGTAAACTCAGTTCAAAATGTAAAAGTAGTTTGCACTCAATTAACCCAGCAAGGAGGAGATGAAATGCAAAATCTTGCCCTTCTCAGAAGGCTTAGGCAAAAGTGAACTGGTGCAACCTCTCCTAGCTTGTATGTTTTCCTCATTAATACCTTTTTGTCATCTTGACCACAGTTTGAAGTTGCTGAGAGTTACACATGTCCCAGTTTCCACCTGTGAAATGTTGGAAAGTATGCTGTAGGAGAGAAATAGTTTTGTATAATTTTGAACTCCTTCATTACCCCAGTTCTTGTGAAAATGTTGCTCTTCAGAGATTCTTGTCATCACAAATGTGACTTGACTCATCAAAATCTTTGTATGGAAGGCATCATAGAGGTTTGACTGTTGTTCTGATATTTAAAGTACATTTTAGAGCTTTCAGTCCAAGGCAGAGAATCCGATTCCCAGCAATGTGAAAGTGTGCCAAGACCTGACTTAGAAAATTACCTGTGGAGAAATTTCTGCACATGCTAAATACACGAACCAGCTTGCCAAAGCTGTACGCAGCTGTGTTTGATTTCCTGTTTGATGACGGCCCAGAAGAAGAGGAATTTGTCCAGAGTTTGTGTTTATAGTAGGAATTGCTCTGCATTCTGTCCACTGTGTTTTCAGTCCCCTTACACAGGTGCCTACCACTTGGACTATAAACAAAACCTATAGCCACCTTCTGATTTTAATCATGTTTACTAAAAACATACATTTTGGATAAAGGAGAAAGCACACCTGCTTCCTAGCCCTTGGCCCATTCCTTTTTCCTTGTATTGTATAAAGGAAATTCAAAGAGGTCTACCTGTAGGCACCTGTCTCTTAAAGAAAATAATGTTTAAGATTTCCTTTTTTAAAATAAAAAAACTCCTAAAGAACCAAGCTGAAC